GGCGTGGCAGGGTTGGGTAAGGGCGGATGGAGGTAGGAGCAGAGCGAAGGGGTGGGGCAGGGCACAGGCAGCCAGGGCAAGGGGTGGCGGAGTAGGAGCGGAGGGGCGGGGCGGGGCAGAGACACTAGATGGACCCTCTGATACTCACGGCAATTAGCCTCATCCGTGCGGTCCTCGCAGTCAAAGTCACCATCACAGCGCCACAGCTTGAGGGCACAGTGCCCGTTTCCGCAGGGGAACTCGTTGGGTTCACAGGGCGGGCTGGGGCCTGAGTGGACCACGCGGGGATCAGCAGCGCCCTCCAGGGCCAGCTCCCCCATCCCCGCGCCCACCTGCATCCCGCCAGTGCGCACCGCAGTCCAGCTCGTCGCTGCCGTCCTTGCAGTCCTCCTGCCCATCACAGAGGTAGTCTTTGGGGATGCACTGCCCGCTGCGGCATGTGGCCTCCTGGGGCCCGCAGGGCAGGGGCCTGCTTAGATCAGGGAGCAGAGGCTGGGGAGCAGGGGTGTCTGGCGGCCGCCGCATGGTGGTTGCTTCTGGCCAAGGGGGTAAAGGTGTTGTCTCCACTAGGACGGGCGGCACAGGGGTGAGCTCTTGGACTGGCTCCTCTGTGGACAAAGCCCGCTTGGTGTTTGGCAGGAGGTGGCGGCTCCTCACCCCTCGCCCCCCACACTCCCCAGGCCCTCCCTGTACTCCCAAGACCATTCTCTGCCACACCCAGTACCCCTGACTCCGTCATCACCCTTCCTGTGTCCCTGCCCTCTGCCTGCACCAAGCCCTCAGAGTCCCAGATGCACTCCGAGACCCAGGCACAGGAGCCAGGCCCTCCCCTAGCGCCCACAGGCCACCTGTGCTCCGGGACAGCTCCTCACCGCAGTTGAGCTCATCCGACATGTCCCTGCAGTCGGGCCGCCGGTCACAGCGGTACTCCAGGGCCACACACTCGTTGTAGCTGTGGCAGGCAAACTCGGCCTCGGTGCAGACCCTTGGAAACTGGGGCACTGGGAGGGGATTTAGGGGGAGTCAGAGGTGGCAGGTGGGAGGTGCTGGAAGCCGCGATGGACAGCACAGGAGCCACGAGGCCAGAGTGGGCTTTGTGCCCCGTGTCAGGCCACCTGGATTCTGGCACACACAGTGAGGGCAAAGAACACACGGTGGGCACACATCCACGGCACACGTGGGACACAGGACATGTGGCAGTGGCCTTCCCCATCCCTCACACAGACCCCACGCACAGCTGACATGCCACACACATGCAACCACCACGCACATGCAGGCCACAGCTGGGCCCAGCCAGGATGGCAGAGGGGGAGGGGCGGCCTGCGGGCTGTGGCCAGCCGCCTTTCCTCGCCCTCCGCCCAGGAGCTTCCCTAGGACCCAGCTGGGCCCAGGCCTGGCGAACACTCTCACCTGGTGTCTCTGCGACCGCCACAGCGGCCAAGGGGGGCGGGGGGGTCTGTGCTGGAAAGGAAGGTGTGGTCAGCAGCCGTCCCACCTGGGAGCTGGGGCTGAGGGCTGTGGGGTGAGCGAGGCCCATCCCAGCACCCCTAGTCAGGAGGACTCATTGAAAAGTGGGAGGGCTGGACCACCAGCAATCTTTAGACCTGGGCCTGGGGATGCCGAAAGAGCAAGCTTGATCTTTGGGTGCGTTAATTGAGGCTTTACATGCAGAACAAGGGAGGCGATGTTTCACAATTTTTCCTGATTGGACCACAGCATGGTAGGGATGGAGCTTGTTGCATTCTGGGTTCCAGTGAGTCAGGTCCTCCCAGAGAGAGGGAGCTGAGATGGAGGCGGGGCTGAGCAGTACAGCCAATGAGGCATGGACTAGGGCTGTTTGGCCTAGCGACAAAAAGACTCGGGGAGTCAAAGACAGGAGGCGGTGGGTGCTGCGAAAGGAAACCTGGGCCCACCCAGAGCAAAAGGCTGACAGCTTTGTGACTTTGGCCCAGTTTCCTTTCCTGTCCGAGCCTCAGTTTCTCAGCCTTTTCTCATCTCATCTCATCTCATCTCATCACGGCTTCTGGCAAGACTGGTACAGACACAGGGTTTGGTTTAAATTCTGGCTTTTCCACTATCTGCCTGTCTGAATTTGGGCAAATTCAGATTTTCCCTTCTGGGGCTCAGTTCTCTCGTCTTCAATACAGGAGGAATAATATCTAATTCACAGGCATTGTGTGCACAGGAGGCCGGATATAAGGGCTTTAGCAGAGTGCCTGGCATGCAATCCGTGCTCAGTAAACAATCGGTAGTTATTATTCAATGCATAACTGTGTTGGATTTGAAAGTGCTATATGAAGAAAGGAATTATTACCTATTGTCAACGTATAGAGGTCTATCCAGAGAGAGCAGAAACTAGGTCTAATGGGTACGTGCTAGAGGAAAACGGTCTGCTCTACCCAAGCCAAGACTGCATAAAGATTGATGGGGCAGTCTCAGGAGATAGCGAGCTCCCTGTCTGTAGTGGCATGCAAGCCCTAGCCATGGCACAGACACTGACAGGAGACCCACCTGAATCTGAGAAACTGGAGGAGGTGACCCCAGGCCCCAGGATAGGCTCACCTGTGCCCAGACGTCGGAACTGGAATCCCTGGGGAGAGGTGACGTAGGAGGCAATGGAGCCGCTGGAGATGACCTTGTGCAGCACGTCCTGGATCTGAGCCCCATCCGCATTCCCTTCCGAGCCCACATCCAGCTCCACAAAGACCCAGCCGTCCAGCTCCCTAGGGATGGGGTGGGCAGGGGGCAGGTGGGAAAGATGCCTGTGCTCTCGGCTCCCCCTGGGACCCTGCCCTCGTGCTCAGGCTCTGTTCCTGGACAGCCTGTACCCAAAGCAGGGCAATTTAAGGTCCACACTGTCCCCTTGGCAATTCCTGAATTTCCACCCATAGCAACTCATCCCATAGGGCCTTTCCTGCCTCCCCTCTCCGTGCCAGGCTTCCTTGCCATCCTCGTGAGCCCGCTCCGATTACCCCCAGTCCCCACCAGCCCCAGGGGGACCCTTCTCACTTGATGAACACCACACTGACCACCTGGTCTCCGGGAATTTTCAAGTACTCCGACTCCAGCTGGGGAGGGACACAGCACCATCAGCCCCCACATACCTTCACCCCATGCCCAGTCCTGCCCTGGTACACCAGGGGGCTTCCCAAACCCCCTTCACCTCACCGTGTCTACCACAGCCTCGGACACCTCTCGGAATTCCCTGGAGCCCGCATCCTCCAGCCGGGGGCTGTACTCGATGGAGCGAGTGAAATTTACCAGGGCCCGGAAGTAAACTGTGGAAAAGGGAGGGGTGTCATTGTGAGGGGCTCAGCGTGGCATGCGGTGGCCTCAGGCAGCTGGACCAGTGGGTGGAAGTCGGGGGATGGCCGTGGGAGGCCTCCCGCACAGGCAGACACCTGTGCCCACAGCGATGCCCTGCACTGCCTGTCCCGGGGTCAAAGCCAAGGCCCAACCTGCCTGAAGGGCTTCGCCTAGCAGGGAAAATGGCCTCACCCAGAAACCAAGTGATGGTGCAGAAGAGGAGACCCCCAGCCACTCAGAAGAAGGCTGGACACCAAGGGGTGGCTTCCAGAGGGGGTTGGCCCAGCTCAGGGATTACCTGCATGTGACCGGGACATGCTTCGCCAGCCTTCCCTGGCTAGTTCCTAATCACCTCCTCCACGAAGACTTCCTGGACTGCCCTGGCTGGCCTAGAGATGGCTCTGATGGGCACCCACTCCTCTGCTCCCCCCTGCAGAGCACCTTCCACCCCGTAGTGCAGATTCTGCCGGGTCACACATCACAGTAACATTCATGAGTTCTGGAGCCAGCCACACCTCAGACACCGACCTCACCTGAGTTTCTGTTTCCTCTTTGGTAAAATGGGGATATGAATCGCATTTATTAATACCGCACTGGATTGCTGCAAAGAGCACACAATAAGGGCTTACAGGCAGCAGGTGCTCAGATGCAGCGCCTGGCACAGAGCAAGTCTGAGAGTCGGAAGCTGTTGTCATCTTTCTCTCTCTGCCACCAGACTACAAGCCTGATGAGGGGGAACCCGAGACCTCATTCAGCCCTGCGTCCCCAGCGCTCACCTAGTGCCCGGCACGTAGTATGTGACTCATAAGTGGTGGCTGAATAAATTCATGTCAGACTGGCGTGAAAATACACACACAACTATTGTTTCTTTCTTTTTTTTTGAGACAGAGTTTCTGTCTCCTGTGCTAGAGTGCCGTGGCGTCAGCCTAGCTCACAGCAACCTCAAACTCCTGGGCTCAAGTGATTCTCCTGCCTCAGCCTCCCGAGTAGCTGGGACTAAGGTGCTCGCCACTATGCCTGGCTAATATTTTTCTATTTTTAGTTGCCCGGCTATTTTTTTCTATTTTTTGCAGAGATGGGGTCTCACTCTTGCTCAAGCTGGTCTAGAACTCCTGACCTCAGGTGATCCTCCTGCCTTGGCCTCCCAGAGTGCTAAGATTACAGGCATGAGCCACCGTGCCTGGTCACAACTACTGTTTCTTAGGCACCTACTACATACAGGACATTTTATTTTTATTTATTTATTTATTTATTTATTTTTTTGAGACAGAGTATCACTCTGTTACCCTGGCTAGAGTGAGTGCTGTGGTGTTAGCCTAGCTCACAGCAACCTCAAACTCCTGGGCTCAAGTGACCCTCCTGCCTCAGCCTCCCGAGTAGCTGGGACTACAGGCATGCGCCACCATGCCCGGCTAATTTTTTTTCTATATATTTTAGTTGTCTGATTAATTTCTTTCTATTTTTAGTAGAGACAGGGTCTCGCTCTTGCTCAGGCTGGTCTCGAACTCCTGAGCTCAAACAATCCGCCCGCCTCGGCCTCCCAGAGAGCTAGGATTACAGGCGTGAGCCACCGCGCCCAGCCCATACAGGACATTTTATACAAGACATTGAATTTCATAATGTTCATGAGTTCATATGTTATAAATATGAATTAATAGGAGTAGCAAATGAGTCACACATACAGGTTGAGCATCCCTAATCAGAAAATCTGGAATCGGGGGTGCGGGTGGCAGACAGGGAGGGGCACTGGCTGTGCTGACCGCTAGACCCGTCCTCCTTCTTCTTTACCTGCCCGTCAGGCCCACAGGTGCACGGGCCCCGCTCCCCCTGTCTCGAGCAGAGAAAGCCCTGGCGCTGCCTGCTCTGAACCAGAGGGACTGGGCTGGGCCGGGCCCTGGGTGCTGGGAGTGGGGCGCTGTGGGCTGGAACATGGGGGCTGTGAGCCCGCCACAGAGGCCCCTTGTGAGCTGGCACAGAGGCCCATTGACAGTCCCCCCGCCCTGGCCCCTGGCCTCAGCCCCATGGCCCAGCGCGGGCCAGGAGGCCCGGCCTCTGCCCAGGAATGTGCCCGCTCCCGGGGGAGGGGGCCGGAGCTCCACAATGCCGCTTTCTCCTAAGGCCTGGGAAGGGTGCGGGCCTTCCAGCCTGACCCCAGCCTCTTCCTCCTCCAGGGGCAGGTCAGGGCCAGCACCCTGGTCTCCCACTGTGTGGCTGGTGCCTGAGGGTTGGGGCAGGAGGTGAGGCTGCCTCCTGGGGTTGGGGGGTGCTATCTGAGGGCCTACACTGGCCAACCCTCTCCCTCCTTCTGACCCTATGTGGACAGCGCACTTGGAGCCAGAGGCTGGAGGGGAGGGAGGCCCAGAACTGCCCTGCACCCAAGGTGGGGTGGGGGATGCACACCTGGCCGCCCCTATCCCCGAAGCAGGCTACCCCACCAACTCCAGATGCCCATCCCTGCTCAACAAAACTCCCCCCACACCCAGGCCCCCAAACTGCAGCCCTGGGTCCCTCTGGGACCGTTGGCTAGGCCCAGATCAGCCTGTCCTGAGGTGGACATAAGCTGCCTCCAGACCTGGGGCCTCGTTCCCTGAGTGGTTGCTGCACCCACCCCTGCTCCACCAGCACCCAGTGGGGAAGATCGCCAGGGGCCCAGCCTGCTGGATTTAGATCCCTGAGCCCAGATGGGGCCGGGCTGTGTCCTGGGCGGGGGAAGGGGCAGTGGCTGGCCTGGCCCCCGACTCTGCAGGGAGGTACCTCTGAGCCTCCTGCGTGACTCCAGCAAAGTGCAGGTTGGGGAAGAAGAGCACAGGGAGCACGGAGAGGAAAGGAGGAGCCGGGAGAGGATGGGGAGGAGACGGAGGGAGAACAGTGCTCCCGCCTGGCCAGGGCCTGGGTCACTTACTGAGAGGCGACTCCTCAGCCGAGGAGACCACCATGCCAGCCAGGCGAGGGCGGCCCAGCGGCGGCCCCGAGCCTGCAGAGTGGAGACAGAGACAGAGGAGAAAAGGGCCAGAGACAGCAAGGAGACAGAGAGAACCAGAGAGAGGGGCAGAGACATCGGGGAGAGAGACACAGAGAGACAGAGACAGGAAGGAAATGACAAAGGCGGGGTTGGGGAAGACAGATGGAGAGAGAAAAGTCGAGGTGAAGAGAAAGGCAGAGGGGAGAGAGAGAAAGACAGAGATGGAGGCAGAGACGGGGAGATAGGGAGACGGGGCGGAGGGGCGGAGGAAGCGCAGAGACAGAGACATAGAGTGGAAGAGAGACAAGCCAAAGCAGGGGGAGGAAGGCGGACAGATGCAGACAGGTGTCAGAGCAGGACAGACAGGAGGGGGAAGACAGAAAGAGACAGGTCAGAAGATGGAAAGAAATAGGGAGAGGGGAGGTGGGAAGGGGCCGGGGCTGTCAGGGAGGGGCACTGACCCACAGGCAGGGCTGGGAAGAGCCGGGGAGCCACAGCCATGCCTGGGGGGAAAGCGGGGGGAAAGGAGGGGGAAGAGCCGTCTCTGTATCTCAGGGGCTGGATTCCAGGGTCTGGAATTGGGTCAGGGCCCAGGATGGAGGCACGGCCCAGGCATGGCCCCATCACAGAGGGCATGGCCCTTGCTTACCAGCGCAGGGAGGGCACTGCCCTTGAGCAAGACTGACTTGGGCACCGATGACCCCAGGAGTCAGGGAGACACACCTGCTGTCTCCTGGGCTGCGATTCAGCCCAGCTGCCTGGACCTGCCCCAAGGGCACCAGGCTGGTGCCAGGGTTTGGGCATTAAGGGTCTGAGGCCCCACCCCTCCCACTCCCAGGGAAAGGCAGCAGCCCTGGTCTTGGGCCCTCCCCAGCTGCTGTCCCTGTCCCCAACCCCTTTCCCCCTCTGGCCTCTCCTGCCCTCGCAGATGCTTCTCAGGGAGGGCGCGGGGCTGGCAAGGACTACTCAGAGCATGTAGAGCTGCCGCAGTGGGCAGCCCCACGGGAGGGGCTGTAGATGTTTCCGAATGGACAGGGTGGACCACACTGGGGCCTCAGTGGCAGGCCTGGCTTGGCAAGAGGCAGCTCCCAGGGACACATTAGCATATGCCATTCTGGGACATGGTGTGTGCCCATGGGACTCACCTTACACCTCCACCCTGGCCCCACCCAGCTCCCAGACATCCTGCAACACTGCAGAGACCTACATGTGGAAAAGCTTCAGGCGGAGCCCAAGTTCAGGTGCTGGAAAGTCACAGTCAGGATCAGGTCACCCAGGGACCCGCCTGTCTGCACTGGCCCGGTTAGGACGTCACCCTCTGGCATTGCCCTGGGCTTGCTGGCTTGGACAGCACTGGACATCATGGGGCTGCCCAGTGGTCAGTCTGAGCTGAGCACCCGTTCCGTCCCTGGCCCTGATCACAGAGTGTCCCGGGTGCTGGCTCCCAGAGAGGGCAGCGGGAACCAGACCCCGTACCAGTGCTGGGCCAGTCTGGGTACCAGCAGGTGGGCGGCTGATGGAGGCTGACTCCTTTCTCTCCACAAAGCCCAGCCCTCCTTCCCCAAGCCAGGAGCCCTTGGCTTCCCAGCAAGTGCCTCGCCCGAAGCCGGGTCCTCCCCCAAGTCTAGAGGAGGCTCAATCCGCCCCTGCCTGGATGCCCTATTCACAGAGCCCCTCTGTTCTGCTCACCTCTGCCTGGTGTCCCCAGCTCTGCACCTCCAAGGAGGGCTCTGGGGAAGCACCAACAGCTGAGCCGCCCTGAGAAGGGAGCATTTTGCTTTGCATGCCGAGCGGCTGGCTGGCTCTCTGTCCCCGATGGGGACTGGGCTTTTCCTGCCCACCGCCCTGAGCCTTGGTGCCTGTGGCACAGGCAAGCATAGGGCCTGGTTAACCCCAACCCTGCAGGCACCTGCCAACCAGTTCACACAACTCACTCAGCAGGTAAGAGACCACCCCTACTTCTTGCAGTGCGTCCAAGCGCAGGCCCAAGAAGCCCTCGAGGCCCTCAGCCCGGGAGATGGGGCCTCCCCAGGGGCAGGATGGGGACCTGCAGGATGCTCTCAGCAACTTACCCATTTGGAAGTCCCCACTGCCCACGTCGCCGCTGCCCAGGCCATCTGTAAGCAAAAAAGAGACATATTCAGCAACAGCAAATACTGGTTGAGCATCTCCCAGGCATCGGGCACTGTTCTGGGACTTACAGGGAAAGGGATATGAAAACACAGACAGTCACTGTCTCCCCCGTGCCTAGGGAGGGCTGGCCTGTAAACGTCAGCGTGCAAACCTCCATCACAGAGGGTGCAGACCGAAGCCCCAGACTCCAGGGACGCAGTTATCTGTCCAATGGCTGGGGCGAGAGGGTCAGGTCCAGGTGAGGACGAGGAGGAGACAGGGTATTGGGTGGGTAACGGTCCTGCAGTGCGCATTGCCAACCACCGTCCCAGTCGGTCCTGACCCTCCCAGGCTGCAGAGAGGAGCAGTGACCAGCCCAGGGTCACACAGATTGGAAGTGGAAGATGCTGGGGTCACCAGGACCAAGGCTTGGGACACACGCAGCCCATCTCTTGAGGCGCCACCTTGGGCGAACTTCATGGGGCCGCTTTAGGGACCAGCGGGAAGAACCATGGTCTCACCCCTCACCCTTATGCTCCCAGCCACGGGGACCTGGGCTCACCTCCGGAGGCGTCGTCAGCCAGCAAGTCCTCATCATCAGAAAGGTAGGAATAGCTCCAGCCAACCCGGCCTGCTGTGACGGGCTCTGTGTCCTCAGGCAGAGACAAGCCATCGTATGCCCTCAGCCCGTGGGTCACCTGTGGGGATGACAGAACCGACTGAGTCACTCTCTCCAGCTCCCCAGGACCCTTCCCTTCACGTCAAGGGGGACCCAGATGTCACCCCAAAGTCTAATTAAAAGAGCCAAGCTGGGGCTGAACTACTGTTTTTAACTCAGTTTCCCCAAGTCCCATTAGCCCCTGGAGGCCTCAGAGCCCAACCTTGCAAATTCTGAATGAATCCTCAAATAAAACAAGCAATAAAATTAAAATTACTTCGGTAAGTAATGACTCTTATTCCTTTGAAGAAAGCAAGGGACACCCAGAACATGAGTGACTAGACTGGGGGACAAAGGCAGGTAAAGGATGACCTGGGCCAGCAAAGACGGAGGACACAGGAAGGTGGAAGGGTGGCCGGGGTCCACATGGACAGGGACACAGGCAGAAATTGAGGGTGAGCTGATAAAAGCTGTTGCCTCCCCTCGGTCCCTCCTCCTGCCTCAGTCTGGCCTGGTGTCCCCCGGCCGCAGGGAACAGCCGCCACTGCGGTGGGGAATGACTCTGGCGCTTGAGGCCACGCTGTCGGCAGTGGGGGTGGAGGCCAGCAGCTGGGCTGAACGCGGACAGGCATGGTGTCAGCTCCACGTGACTCTGGGCTGACGCTGAGCCTGGCCCAGCACGAGCTCCTGGGGCCCTGCACAGTACGGGCAGGACGGCCCGGGCGGCCAGACCCCTGCTTCCCAGGTGGGGGTGTGGACCGTGAATGCCTCGGTCCCCTAGACAAAATTGCGGCGTTTCTAAAGGAGTTTTACCAGGTAACTCAGAGGAAAACAAACCCAGCAGAGACCCAGGGAACCCCGGAGCCCACAAGCATAAGCGTGAACAGAACACCCAACGGCCTGGCGTGAGGGCTCAGGCCTGGCCCTCGCCTTAGCCAGAAGGAAAGGTCTTGCCTGTGAAGACCAAACCCCCAGCTAGACAAGGTGGTGAGGCCCAGGGAGGAGAGAAAACAAGAGCCAGCCTGGCCCCCGGCCCTCCCCACCCCCGGCTCCACACGGTCCGCGTCCCTCTCGCCTCTGGCCTTGCTCAGCCCGGGCCGGTGCTGCAACGCCCTTCCTCGCTCTGTTGCGCGGGCTCACTCCAATTCCTCCAAACCTCAGCGTAACCTCCTCTACCCTAATGAAGAGGGACGGATGACCCGCGTGCATGGCCACGTGGCCGGATCCGAGAGAAGCCCGACACGAAAGACTGCAGACTATAAGATTCCGTCTTGTGGAACTTTAGGAAGAAAGTCTAATCTACGGTGACAGAAAGAGCAGTAGTTGCCTGGGACCAGGGTGAGCTGGGGGTGACCGGGAAGGGGGCGCAGGGGAACCTGCTGGGGTGGTGGTTCCCTGGGTGTATTCGTCTCACCCTCGTTATTGAACTGTGCGCACATCCTATTGGGTGTATTTACGCCTCAATAAGGATGACAAAAAAGAAAATCTCTTTGTCCTGACTCCTTGCCCCTCACAGTCACCTCAACCTCCGGGTGGGGTTCTGGGCGCTCCTGGGCTCACATTGGTACTGTCTGTACCCCCAGTGGAAGCACCTGAAGGCAGAGATTGTGATCAATTCACCTCTACCTTCTCTGCACCCCGAGTTCAATAAACACTTGAATGAATGGACAAGAATGTCACCAACTATTAATTCCAGCCACTTCTTGAACATGACTTGCTTTGGTGGTACCACCCACCCCTACGCAATCTATAAGCTTCTCCCTTCCCAGGCTGTGAGGTCCCTGAGGGCAGGGGCTGGGTGCCATTTGGTCATCTTTGTGTCTGTGGTGACACACACACAGATGTGTCACTTGCATAAGGTCTGCACAGCCCACACTTTACTCCCTGCTATGGCCTAATGCCCCTTCCGCCATAATCCATGGGCAAATATCACCTCCTGTTCCCTCTGCTCTCCCCACTCTCTCCCTCTGCACAAGTGCCCGTTCCCACCCTGAGTGCTGGCCAGTGACCTTTTGGGCCATGTCCATGGGGTCTGCATGCAGGAGTGTGCTTCAGAGCCTCCAGGAGCTGGTCAGAAATGCAGATTCCTGGGCCCCTTCCCAGAGCCACTGAGTCGGGTTCTATAGGATGGTTACAGTCGTGCATTCGCAGGGGAATTTGACAGCCACTGCTTAAGCACCACCAGACCGGCCCCCTACCAAGGGCTCTCAGGGGTATGGGGGAATGTCCCCACTGGCTGGAGCAGGCCCTGATGGACCCGAGGGGAGTATGAGGCTAGGGCTGGTGGAGGAGCACTGACTCTGGGCAGAGGAGGTTTGAGGGGACAGGCTTGGGTCCTCAATCTGGGGAGGGTTCTCGGTGTCACTGCCACTTCTTCCCTCTCCCCCGACGCAACCAAGGCCGTGGAGGGCGTATTTGGGGCACCGAGATTCCTGGCCCTAGACACTGCTGTCTGGAAAGGAAAACCCCGGTCAGCGATGAGCAAGGCCCAGAGCTTTGTTCAGGGAGGAAGGAGCCGGGGGTGGCGGGGGGTGCTTGGGACTGGACAGGAAATAGCAAAGTGAGATGCAACATGGAAAAAATGCCAGGAACACACATCTGCAGTGAGAAGGGGAAGAGAATCCAGAGCACGTCGGAGCCTGGACAGACGCCCCCCCCACCACAGCAGGGGCCCCAGGGAATGGACCCTTCCGCATGCCAGCTTGCCCTTGCTTGCAGCCCACACCCCAGGGTCCAGGGATCCAGGGTCAGATCAGGGCCCACGGCAAGGGCTAAGTCAACAAGAGCAGAGACTCCATTTGTACAAAGCTAAAGATCAAAAGGTTCCAGCAGCTGTATTTCACATCTGGGAGGCAAGACAGAGCCAGACGGGAAAGAGGCTCCCAGAAAAAGCTGAAAGGAGCATGAGACATGACCACAGAAGGGATCCTGGATCCAGACTTGGGAAGTCCAGGATCTTCCTGAGGACAAATACAAGCTAACGTTTATTGAGCGCTTATTGTGCGCCAGGCACTCCTGAACCAGGTTACAGGTGTTAAACAGCCCACTGCAAAGAGGGGGAAATGGAGTGGAGAGTCGGGCTACCTGCTTGAAGCTGGCAGGCGGCAGAGCTGGGATTTGGGCCCTGGCGGTCGGGCTCCAATGCCTAAGCTCTTACCACTGTGCCACCCCACCTCTGTGACCAGTGGTGTGGAATGAGCTGGGACTGAGATCACCCAGAGGCACGCTCACAAAGCCTCTTGGCCACGCTGCACTTCCGTTTACAAAGCACTTCTTCAGCCTGGTACTGTCTGAGCTGACAGTGACCCTCCAGGGGGCAGAGTGGGTGTGAATGGCCCCTTTCACAGGAGGGACACGAATCCTGGGGAGAGGGTGCAGATCGCAGGTGAGGGGCTGGCACCCACCCCCCCACCCTCCGCTCACCAGGAATGGAGGCAGGGCTGGGGCCGGACCTCCAGGCTGGCCATGAGGCCTAAGCAGAGGGCAGTACCAGGAAGCCAGGCTTGGCCGGTCCCCATCCCAACCTGACCAGCTCCCAGGATGGCCCCACGGGATGCCTGAGCTGGCAGTGGCCCAGCCCGTGCAGCATGTGCTTTAGGTCCCACAGGTCCCAGCGAGGGCTGCTAGCGGCTCCAATGTCAGAGGCAGAAATAGAACCCAGGCTTCCTGCCCTCCAGCCCGTCTCCGGCTGTGAGGCAGCCCGGCTTCCTCCCAGAGGAACCCAGTACCTCAGGCAGGCCTTGGAGCCGGATGGCGGGGCTGGACGGGAGGGGTCCAGGGGGCAGACCTGGGACCTAGAGGAAGGAGCCAAGCAGAGAGGGGGATTTTCCAGACTCTGTAGTTCCTGGAGGGGGAAGGGGGGCAGCTGACTCTTTCAGGCCAAGGGCAGAGGACTGTTCTAAAAGGCTGGGAACAATTGCCTGGGATGGGAATGCGGGCAGGGTGGCCCCCCAGTGGGCAGGCATTCCCTGAACACAGGCGGGGGACAGAAAGGGGAGGGACTTCTGGGAGGCACCACTCCCTGAGGCGGGGCGTGTCCAGGCCTTCCGGTGGGAACAAGGGCACACGTGGGGCTCTAGGTCCAAGTCCTGCAGAGGCCCTTGGGGACAGGTTACAGAGGCTGGACCCCCTGCACCCCCTTGGCCTGCCTGGGTCAGGATGCAGAGGGAGCCAAGGCTGGCTCGGAAAGGACTCCGCGTGGAGGAAAAAGGTCGAGCCACGAGAGAGGGCCGCAGAACGTGGAGGGGGCTGGGGTGCAGGAGCGGTACAGAAACAGAGCAAAGATCCAGGGTGTGGGCTTTCCAAGGGTTTTTAAGTGAGGAATGTGGGCCTTGCAAAGATTACGTGTGTGGATGAGTTTCTGGGGCTGCCGAAATCCAAGCTGTAGGAAGACGGCGGCACAGTGGAGAGATGACAGTAAGAGCTCAACCCCTCCGAGGGTCTTCTCCACTCTAGGTCCCACCCCACACTCCTGGGACCATCTCCACGAATCCTCACGGCAGCCCAGGGAGGGCCGCACTACAGGGACACTATTCCTTATCTGCAAAAAGGGAAATCCAAAGAGTTCTGAAAACCGAAAGTGTTTTTTTTAAACTGTGTTTATTGCAGGCTCATTTGGTGCCAGGTCCTGACCTGAACTGACATGAAGCCACCAATAGCGTATTTACCCCACTTCGGGTGAAGAGTCATCCGTTTCACTGAAGCAACAGTAATGTGTTTGATCACGGGGTGTGGCCCACACTCCACTGAGGATATCACAGCACGGCTGGCACATGCTCCGTGTCGCCTTTCTCAAACTTAGAAACGTCTGAATTCCAAAACACGTCTGACCCCATGGGTTTCATTTAAGGGACTGTGAGCTTGTATTATAATTATTTCCATTTTACGGATGAAGCAACTGAGGCTCAGAGAGGCTCACCTGTGTAAATGGGATCAAGCAGTAAGTGCTCAATAAGTATACAGCAAGTGCTCAATATGTACTGGGTGACGGGTGGGTGTGGATGAGGGGTGATGCATGGGGAGTGAGGGTGTGGGTTCAGGCCTCGATGGCCTCCATTGTGGGATGAAGGGAGGGGTCTGGCCCTGTTGCCCAGGCCCTGGGCTGGCCGGGTGGGCAATACAGCTCAGTCCCCAGCCTCAAGCTGTCTGCCTGCTCTGAGGCTGACTCTGGGACCAACCCAGGGCTTTGGGCTTCTCCAGAGACATTCTTCACATGCCTTGGGCAGCCAGCCCACCCCCTCCCTCCTCGAGGCCGGGCTTGTGGCTGACAACCCACCACCCCCGCAGCTGGGCAGGAAGGTCTGATCACCGCACAGTCCCCAGGGTGGCTGCAGCTGCCCAGGGCAAGGCTCCAGGCATCTGGGGCTGGAGTGAGCTCACCCCATCAAAATCCAGAGACGGTGCGGGGGCGGGGGACAAGCGAGCCCTTGCCTGCCCACCTGCCTCCCCTACCCCCGCCATGGTCAGCTAGCACACACTGTCTCAGCGCCCCTCCCCGGCCCCCAGTGGACGAACCAGCAGACAACATGACCCATGACCCCCAAATCTCCAGGGGGGGACACGAACCCAGGCGAGATCCCCCTCCCACTCTGCCATGATGCAGGCTCCCAGGTAACCCCAAAATAATTGCTTCTCCTACTGTGCTACACCCAGGCCCCAGACACAGGGTCAAAGTGCCCTGCCCCACCCCCAGGCCGCCTGGTGCCCTGACCACGGGCGACAGACGGCAAAGGGGAAGGAATCTGTCGGGGCAGCACTTTGTTGTACAAACTGCCAGGGGCGGGTGAGCCCGACACAAAGGCCAAAAGGCCTTTAATCCCCTGGCGGTCTGAGAGGGGCGCCGGGCCGGAAAGGAGGTGGCCGCGGCCCCCTCTGGCGTGCCTGTACTGCCCGTGCCGCGCGGGAGGCCTGCCAGCTTCTCACACTTGGGCCCCCAAGGTGGCAGGAACTTCGCCAGCCAGTCGGCCAGGAGGAACAGCGATCTCCAAAATAAGGAGAATGGCCGGCACCCAGCAGGTGCCACTGTGGGCCAGGTGCTGAAGTTCTGCAAGGCTTATGTCACTCGAATCCACAACAACCCCTTGAGGTAGACCGTGGTGGCACCCCCAATTTTAGAGATAAGGAAACTAGGCTCAGAGATGGGAAGTCGCCTGTTCCAGGTCACACAGCGAAGGGAACGGGGCTCGAGGTTGAGACCAGGACTCCCTCTGCTGGGCTCACGCTCCTGTATCCTGCCAGCAGTCCCCTGCATCTGACCTTTGACCCTTGCCCTCTGTAAGCTCGCATGAAGGCCTGGGACCCGAAAAGGCCGCACTCCAGCCAGGGCCTATGGGAGCGCTGAGATGGGTCAGGGCCTTCAGCAGAGGCCCAGGGAGTGGCAAGCTGGGGTCTGGAGGTTCTAGTCCCAGCTCAGCCCCAAACTCACCACGGACAGACCCCTGACTCCCTTCACTTTCACGAGTCCCCACTGCACGTGCATCCACACCAGCCACCTCAGTCGATGTGAAGGCAGTGACTCTGATCCGCTTTGATCATGCTGCAACTCCAGTGGGTGCTAATAAATATCCGGTGACTCACTGAATGAATGAACACGCCCAACAAGCCTGGGGTGGAAACCAGCCCACCTGACAGAAGAAAGCGAAGTTCAAAAGGAGACTTACCCAAGACCACACAGCTAGAAAGTGCCAGAATTATCTGCAGGCCCCCGTTCCCATCAATAAAATCGAGGCCATAACATTTCATCCCAAGGGAAGGAGGGGCCTGGATCACATGATCCCTGAAACCCATTCTAAGGTACCCCCTGCCCTTGTATAATAATCCTCCTGGGCCTCAGTTCCCTCAGCTGTAAAATGGGAACAAAAAACATCTCTGCTCTGCCTCCTTCCCGGGGCTGCCGGGAGGGGCGCAGCCAGCAAACACTGCATCTGCTCGGCCCTTCCCCAGGGGGCCTGATGTGCTCTCTGCCTTGGAGGCGCCTCTAACATGGCTGGGGTGGGTGCCCAAGCCGGTGGGCTACTGGCCAGGTGGAGGACCAGCAACACCACTTGATCTCTGAGTCTCAGAGAGGTAGGGCCAAGGGAAAGAGAGGACCATGCTCGGTCAGGCATCCCTGATTCTAGGCCACCTCTAGCCAGGTGGCCTCAACTTCCTCATCCATGAAAAAAGGATAGTCAGTCAGATCTGCCCATAAGGTTCAACTCGGTGTTCCAGGAGAACACAGGCCACCGAACCACGTGCTGACAACACAGTGTGAGGACAGTGCTGAAGGGCAGGGGCTGGGAGAGCCCAGGGGAGGGTCCCCTCACTTAGCAAGGTGGGGTGGGAGGCTGGGAAGGTTTCGCAGAGGAAATGGCAGCTCGCCTGGGCCTGAAAGATGATTTCGCCCAGGAAAGGTGGAGAAGAGGGAGAGAGTCACCAGGCAGAGGGAAGGGCACATGTGAGGCCCGGGGTGGAGAGTGCACAGCACGTTCGAGGGACAGAAGAAGTTTGGTGCAGTGGGACACGTGTGTGAGGTGGCCGAGGGCCAAGGGGAGAGGCCTGAGTGGGCTTTTCCACTTAAAGGAGCTGTTGTGCCGTTGACCTGGTGTGGTCAGAGCCCAAGTCTCCCCTGCCCCCCCCAGCGTCCCTGCACAATCCTCTGGCCCCCACAGACACCCCAAGAATGGGCCTCCCCTGGCAGCTGAATGAGCTGTCTGCCAGCTTACAAGGAAACTGCAGGAAGCCACTAGGAAATGCCTCCGCCCCACCCGGGTTCCAGGTGTGGCCAAGGCGGTAGGGGTGGCCCATGGGACACCAGCCTCTGGGCTGGGCTGCCCAGCAAGAAGGCCCCTGGGGGTTGAACATTATACGCCAAGCACTGTTGCTGCCAACAGCGCCTGCGGCACTCACGTGCCCGCCTCCTGCCCGCAGCCCGGATTGCTTCTCAAGTTGTCTGGCCCCCGGTGGCCTTGCCGCCACTGGGCGCGGGCATGTCTGTGGGGCTTCAAGGCCACACCAACCTGGTCGGCCTGCCCATACCCTCCTGGGTCACTGACCACAGGCTTCACAAATGAAGCCCCTTCTATAGTGTCAGGCCTAGGGGAAGATGCGGGAAATGTTCCACAAAGTTTTGTTGAAATGAGCCATAACTAACAGTAAGACCACTTCCTGAACCTGTTAGGTTAGGCCTTTTCAGGGCTCTTGACTCACCGAAGGGTTAGAAGAAAAGTCCTTGTCATTAGATTCTATGTGATCTGCCCCCCCATACACACACTTTTCCAACTTCTTTTGCTATGGAGCTGTCCCTGCTCCCTGCCTTCTGGACATATTTATCACCTCAGTAGTCCTCGAACACATGCCCCTTGCTACCTCAGGGCCTTTGCACTTGCTGTGTCCCCTGCCTGCGATGTTGCCCCCAGATATTCAATCATTCACTTCTCTTCTTCTGATTTTTGCTCAAATGTCACCTTTTTAGAGATCCAGCCTGACAACATCCCAGGTCTGGAATCTCTTGTAGCTCTCCGTCAGCCCCCTTTACACGCTCATTGTCCTTCTCTGCACCTTGCCACCTGACAGTTCTATATTCACGTGTTCATCTGTTTATCATTTGTCCCCCCCACCAGAAGGTAAGTTCCATGAAGGCAGGGCTTTGCCCATTTTGCCATTGCTGTTTCCCCAGCACCTGGCACATAGTAGATGCTCAACAATATTTGTTACCTTACTTAACAAATGGGGCTCACAATGAGGAGACTGCGGCTCAGAGAGCTGACCTGCATAGGCACAGAGTTGGGAGACCCAGGGCTTGAACCCGAGACCCCTGGCTCCACATCCGGGAAGATCTCTGCGCTACCTCATCCTCCTGCCATCTCTTTGGCCGCTCATGCCTGGGGCCTTCCTGCCAGGCAGCCCAGCCCTGGGCGGACAAGAGGCTGCCTGTGGTCACTGAGGAGTGTCCCAAGGAGTAGGTGGGGGTCTCAGAGGCAAGAGGGGCCAGAGCTCTGGCTCCAGGGCTTTGTGCAACACAGCCAGGAGGCCGGTGACTCCAGCCTCGGTGACTCCGCTCAGCGCTTGCTCCCGTGGGCATCGGCAACAGGAAAAAACAGGCTGGAACGACAGCCCAACAGCTGTGTCCAAGGCTGGCCACCCCCGTCCCCCAGGGCTTTCCTCATCTGTGTCCTGGAAGGGGAGGAAGGGGCAGGCAGGGCCAAACCCATGGCTGAGATAGGCCTATGGGGTGGGCCTTCTTACAGAAGCACCCCCGTCCCCTCTCTTCATGACTAATGTCCATTCCAGGACACAGGAACTCTGGGACAGGAACAGGCATGGTGCAGAGTCCCGCAGACAAACCCTTCTGGGAAAGGCTGGTTAAATAGAGCTGAGTTGGTTCCCTAAGTCCTAAATGTCTCAAACAACAAAGGGGAGTGGGGTACAAGTATTTATTTAATGTTTCTCAAACTTGTTTAACTTGGAACCCTCTCTTCATACAAAGCTCATTGGACTGGGGTTCTACAGAATGCACTTTGGGAACACCTGTTCAATCATCCTGCCTTTTCCTCTACCAGCCTTAAGTAAGGCTTTAGATGTAAGATCTGATGCCACCCCCAACCTAGAGGTTTTGAAAAAGGGGGTGTTTGACGACAGAAAAGCCACAGGCTGCGTGGAATGAAGCGCTGATGGAGGAAAGCAGGCCAGGTATCAGGCGAGTTGCCCTCCCCTCCCTGGCGATCAGCCTGCCCTCGCAGGTGCTGAGTCCTGCCAGAGGGGGCAAGAAGGGTGGCCCAGCGCCTGGCCACTGCTGGTCCACTAGGACCATCCAGAGGTCTGAAGTTACCTGTGGCCCAGAGAGGGAGGGAGGTTTGTCCAGCTGCCGAGTGCAGAGAACAGAACACGCGCTAGCTGCAGGTGTGGCTGCGGGGGCATGCAGGGGAGGGGGCTGGCACACTTCCAGGCAGCAGCGTGGGCCATGAGGGACTGAGAACGGGGCTCCTAGCTTGCTCTGCTCTGCTGGGTAAGTCCCTTCCCTTCTCTGGGCCTCAGACTCCACCTCTGTCAAATGATGAAGTAGACCAGGAGCAGTGGCTCACGCCTGTAATCCTAGCATTCCGGGAGGCCGAGGCAGGAGGATCGCTTGAGGTCAGGAGTTTAAGACCAGCCTGAGCAAGAGCAAGATCCCATTTCTACAAAAAATAGGAAAATTAGCTAGGCATGGTGGTGTGCGCCTGTAGTCCCAGCTACTTCAGAGGCTGAGGCAGGAGGACTGTTTGAACCTCGGAGTTTGAGGCTGCAGTGAACTATGATGACCCACTGCACTCTAGCCTAGGTGACACGGTGAGACCCTATCAAAAAAAAAAAAAAGATAAAATAGACCCAGATCACAGGTTTCCAGTTCGTCCTCATCAGGCTTGTGGCCACTCTGGAGCGGGCTGAAGAGGAAGAGGGAGACAGGTAAAGTTTGGGCCTCCTACCCTCAAAACTTACTTAAA